AATATTAGTGGTAAATATACACATACGTATGCAAAATATATAAATATATATACATACATACACATACATATATATTTGTATAAATTATTCCAAGATGATAGAATCCAAGTAGAACTCAATGTCCAGCACAGAGTAAGGATATATATTAGGTTGGTGCAAAAATAATGACGTAATAATGTCGTTTTTGACGTTAAAAATACGTCAAAAAACGACATCATTACATCATTATTTTTGCACCAACCTAATATACACACACACACACACACACACATATATATATATATATATATATATATATATATATATATATATGTCAGCCTTTATTTATAATTATTATATACCAGTCAACATATCCAATCTTAAGCAATCAAATTTTACTACAATCATAAGGCTTTTTGATATTTAACATATGGTACATACGTTAATATATGAATTTAATAGGTAGTTTTGAAAGGGTCACTTACTGATACATATTAGATTATGGATTGAAGAAGTGGTCCTGGAATATATATATATATATATATATATATATATATATATATATATATATATATATGTATATATATAGGAAATGATTAATGGTTATACATTCGTACCGAACAATAATTTTAATTTGTTCTCAATTCCGTTTAATTATAGTTAAGTTAATGCCCGGGTTTTCCTAACTTAACTAAACTCCTCTTATTATCCTTCGAAAATGTTTAATCCTATCATAGGGTATTTGTAGATATAAGTCGGCTAGCATATGTGTGTATGTGCATGAATGTTGATATCTTAGTGTATGTAAGTCTATGCGATTAGAGATATTCTGTAGACTAACGAATGGGTACACACACACACACACACACACACACACACACACACACACACACATATATATATATATATATATATATATATCTCCAAATTCCCTCCAAATCTTTGAACAAACTCCTCCGAACTTTGAGCTCTGATATATGGACGAGCTAAATTCACCAATAATTCTGAATTATCTCCCTTCGAACTTACTAAAATTACCTCTTAATTGTTTTTTCACGTTTTCGTTAATTTCCGTGGATTCCCGTTGAATCACACTTTGTCAGTGTGACCATTAGGATGTAGGTCAGCTCATCGGTTTCCCCTTCCCTCCCTCTACCCAGGCCCTCCTACCTCCATAATATAATTCCTGTAACGGTGCCTTCTTCTGCCATATCTCCTACCATCTCCCTTTTAACGTCCGCACTCTCTTTTTCTACAACTAGCCAGTATCCAACTATATATATATATATATATGCAAGTTTTGTTTAGTATCTATCTATATATACATACACTTTTGTGCAAATTAATTGAAACAAAACGAATAATTCCGTTATTATCTACTTTTTTTTCATATATTTCCAATGACACATGACCCAGTGCACACGTTAGTACTTTGTATGTACATTCCACGAAGTCTTTCCTTGCAGATTGACTACAGATTCTAAATTGGATATAAATCAGGAGAGTTTCTGGGCCAGTCTATAGTACTTTGATTTGCTCACTAGTAAGGCTCGCCAGTGAGTTCGTGCAACGTTACAATATTCGTACGCTCCCTTGGAGTAACGTCAATCGCAGACAATGGCTGTAGGACAAGTAATCGACAGTCGAGACAATAGTGTCTGGGTGTAATAAAAATCTGATGCAATAACTGGTGGCGCACTATTTTTCAAGGCCAAACAAATTTCATTATACACGCCGAAAATAGCTTCATATTACTGCACACCACTGCAAATGACCTAATCCGCAGAAAAATACAAAACAATTACGACCTGTCACTCCAGTGGGTATGGTGAAAGAAAAGAGGCTAAAACCGTTGTTTCAATTAATTTTCACAAGGGTGTATATATAACCAATTTTATGCAATTTAAAAGCTTTATCTTTTTTCTTTATGCAATTGTATTTACTATATACTGCCGTGTACATTACACGGTAAAGCTTATTTTCTTCATTCCCAGAAGAGAATAAATGGATTTAAAGTTATAACACCAAACGCTTCACTCAATGTTTATAAAGTAAGGAATTAACTTCCCCTTTCAACGGTTAGAATTTAAATCATTTCCAAAGTCCAACAGGAACTGTCACTCTGCAACTTCTCCTCGAATAGGTCACGTGCACAACGCTGCTGCTTTTGCACGAGACTACAGCGCTGTTTCGAGCCGGGGAAATGATTCATCACCTCCGGACTGATCCGAGGTAGCGTATTGCCCATCCATGCGGCAACCAGTGAACAGCATGCTTCGGCAAATACAGGTTATGAGATTCGATTTGGACTATTCCATTGACCAGCTTTGACTAGGCTCTCTTTGGAAAAGACCAATATTTTGAATCCATTCTTCCTTTGCATATCTTGATTCTTGTCATTCTTCCTTTGCACACTGTCTTGTCATTGTACTTGGTAACCACTCTCCTCAAACTTCATTACTTGCCAAAAACTCTTTTGCCAGTCGTCAACCTAAGTCCTCTAGTTATGTATATTATATGCTTTCGGGATCACCATCTGGATTTATTAATTAGTAAGTTTCATGCCTTTCTTTCGTTTAAGTAGCTTCTAATAAGCAAGGATACTGAAACTGTTTAACTTATTAGTACATGGCGTTCATCTTTTTAGGGTTACCTCGAAGGTGTTACCTAAAATTTAAAATCCACCAGCCCTAAGATTACCATGAGCCAGGATAATAGATAAGATGCAAGAAATTTTTACAGTAACAGTGAAAATCGCTCTTATTTTATTAGTTACAGTGCATTTCTTGCATCATTTGATTGTAATACACGGAAAAATATCCGAGAATATGAACGGATTATGCTAAAAATAAGCAGACATAATGTTTGTAATTTATTTAATCAGGCATGTCTAAAAGAAAATTAGCTGCTTATGCATATATATATATATATATATATATATATATATATATATATATATATATAATAATAATAATAATAATAAAAGAGGCAGCATATATTTTATATTACAAAGAGTTAATCATACCTTGAATCAATTAGCAATATTAGTGCAATTATTGGCGAAATCCCTTCACTAAAAGACATAATTATAAGGATTATACTACTAACAATCCACTGAATGATGAGATCCTTGTGTATAAAATGGATATGGTGTATTTTTTAATTCAGTTAGTACTTTCAAAGACCTCTGTCTCCATCATCAGGCTGTATTTTTTTCCTTTAGAATCAAAATTGGAAGACGAAATAAATGTGTTGCGGAACGAAAGATGTTTTTAAGAATTAACTATTTATTAACGGTTGTGTAATGTTGGAGCATGCAAGTCCCAACGCTAAAGTTCAAATATTTCAAGTGAGAATTTTTATATGAATTTTGTAATTTGGTAAATCCACGAATTATTATAATGCTTATAATTATGTCTACTAGCGAAGGGATTTCGCCAATAATTGCATTAATATTGCTAATTGATTCAAGGTATGACTAACTCTATATATATATATATATATATATATATATATATATATATATATATATATATATATATATATATAACAGATAATAAATCTGTTGGTATATAATCCAAGTGGATCCTAATAATATAAAATATTAAAAATGATCCGCAAACGAGATCAATGTATTTATTATAAAAGAGCATATAAATTACAAAATAGAAATCCCAAATTACCTCATGACTAAAGATTATTTCCACTAAGGTCAATGAGTTAGCTTTATTCAACTTAAATGAAGTTTTACGACCATTTGAGTTGAATAAAGCTAACTCATTGACGTTAGTTGAAATAGTTTATACTCGTGAGGTAATTTTGGATTTCTCTGTTATGTAATTTAATAATAATAATAATAATAATAATAATAATATATATATATATATATATATATATATATTCTGTTTATACGTTATTTTCATAGATACAGTTTATTTAAGGAAATGCTTTGCTTTTGATAAAATAGTATTAATTGCATTTACTGGCCTGAATGTTCGAGAAATTTCGTAGAAAATATGCGTTCTCCGACAGGAATCGAACTTGTATTCCTATACGGGAGCCGTCGGTTTATTGACCAGTTACAACAAATTGATAATAACTGATCCATACACCGAGGTATTAGTATTTTATTAATGCCACATTCTGAATTTTTATGATGGATTCTGGTTAGGTGACATCACTACTTTCATTCGTGTTCCATTTCTATGCCATAGTTTCTGTTCTGGAACGGTTTATCTTAAATTCTATCTTTTTTTCGAAAGATTAGTGAAGAATTTTTTTTCAAGATCATTTTCATACAAGCTATAGCAACTATGAATGCCTCTTTCATAGTCATAGTCCTCTTCATTGTCATTCCATTGGCCTCTTGAGGGAATAATGTAAAACATTCCCCATGGTTAACTAATCCAGCAGTTATTATCCTTTAACTATGTACGACATCCCATCTGGGTTATCCAACGAGTGACTTGGCTCCGAAAAAATTCACTTACTACTGAAATAGAAACGGCATCCCTTGGTATAGTTGCAGCCCTATGGAATAAAAAATCCAGCAGTTGGGAAAGACAATATTCTTACTGGATAGGAGAACAAAAATACATTTACTAAATCAATTGCAGTAAGTCCTCTTGTTTCTTTAAAGTTATAAGTATCAGTTTGAGAATTCTATGTGTTTAAAAAACTCTCTGGTTTCAAAATGAGGCTGTCTGGTTTAAAATGCAAAAATATATAACAATTTCACAGTGAAAAATTGCGTTTAGAAAAGTGTAAAAGGTTGTCGATTGGCTGTTTTTCTTTAGCGGCATATTAACATCTATGGCCAAAATCTAAATATTTTGGAAATAATAATGGTTTTAGTAATACAAGTTTTACTAATTAACCCATAGCGGAGGGGAAGTGGTGGATTCATACCTTTCCCATGAGTATTTGCGCGTAAGTGAATATAACGAAGCCAATTGAAATTGAAGCTCGGCTATCCGATTAAGAATACTTTGCTATTATCCATTACACCCGTACATCCAATC